TGCTAACGGAAATGTTTATTTCAATCCGAAATTCAAATTAAAATATGGAATAATATTCCCAACAGAACAGAAGCTCTAAATATAAAAAATGTAATTGAAACTTACCTGCTTGAACTTGATCGGGGTGTTTTGTTAGTTTGATGCGTTTCCTCCTCTTGAGGTCGCCACTGCTTTTAAGAAGAGGTTGCCAGGTTTTCACAACAAAACCCGCCCAATCGCATTTCGAGGGGGTCCCCGTTAAAAATCGCGTTCCGGGGATAAAATACGCGTGTTTTGGCGGGGTTTCCCTGGTAAAATTCGCATTCCAGGGGCTAAATATTACGTTAATGGGTTCGTTTTTCAACCCGCGGACATGAAAAACAACCCGCGGCAACAGTGTTAAAGCAGCCCAATTCCGCGGGAAAACCACGGACTTGGCAACACTGGAAGAGGATAGCTTTCGTTTAGCGCATCAAGAACCGGGTTGACCGGGTACTCGGTACCACCGGTACTTAAGAAAACCTGGTACCGTAACGTTTTCATTTTTTTAGTACCGACTTGGTACCGAAATACCGGGTCTTTTGACAACACTATTAGTAACTTCGCTTTACTTAATTATCCAGACATAATTTTTTAGGAAAATCATGTTCAAATGTGAGTTTCAAATATGATCATCTTCAGAGGAACGTTTATTGTTCATCTCTCAATCATTATTGTATTGAATTGCATTACATGCGTTGATAATAAAACTAAGTATTTAAACACGTCTTACTAAGACATTATTGGGAGATACAGAGCAACAACTGATATTTATATAATTTTATGTAAGTATCTGCTATGCTGTTATAAAGACCTCACTGATTTACATTGATACATTACAAGCATCAGAATTTCATCACTTTTTGTCCATACAAATATCAGCATCTGCGCCAAATTGCATTTTCTTTATCTGTTTGGGCCTGAGGTGTTTTTCTCAATATTCTCATTATATTAAACTATATGAGCCATAAAAGCATGATGTATCAAATATGATACTTAACATAAAACACACATGCAAACTCTTTCTTTTAAATTTCATCTTAAGGTCCAATTAATTGCTTTTTTTTTTTTTTAATAAAAAAAATTGACATTTCAAATGTCAGGCTTCACAGGTTAATACACAAAGGCCATCTGCCTTGAGTTTTTCCTCTCTCTTGTATTCTCCAGGGAGAGTCTGTATATTTGACATTACAGGTGTTGTAGACTCACAGGTGGGATCGGACCCGTCTTGGAGGTGCGGGGGGACAAATGCAAATTCATGCTCAGCAGATTGTGGCCTTTGTTCGGCCGGATAGGACATGATCATTTAGACCTCTTAGAGAAAGAACCTTTGCTTTTGGTCACCCAGGTCTCTCTCTTTTCCTCATTTCCAATATCAAACCACTCACGTTTACACACACACACACATCATCATCAGCAGCAGTTTTCCTTCTCAGAAGTGTTTCTATTAAAGCATACCTCTTAAGCCGTCATTAAACTGAACTGGTGAGATGAGGTATTTCGTTAAGTGATCAGCAGTAATGGTATGCGGTCCGTCGAGGAGTTGCCGTGGTAACTCGACACTATAGCTGACCGACTGTAGCGGCACATCTCAATAATTAATGCGGCCTCCTGATTGCATTGTGTTTCTGACTCACGTCTTCAGTGTATACAGACTGTCTTGAACTTGTAGATTCTCATTGTCTTGATTAATTTGCTGGTTTTGCTTCCAGACCTCAAAATAAACCAGACCTCAGTAAATATCTGACAATCCTGGGTTTGGTGTTTTCTCAATCTTAGCCAATCAGCATGCAGACAATGGCATCTCGGTTGGATCCTTTTAAGTTTATGTTGCTGTCCAGATGTTAGTGGAATTAGTTCAGAACATTTTAAATGACATGTTTGATTTGTTATAGTCTGTACATAGTGACTTATATGAACTTTCTGAACTGATTGTGTAGGTGTTTAAGGCTTTGAACTTAGCTTATCGAGACTTTAGAGCTGGAAAAATTTATTTTAAACCTGTTATTTGCATTTCAGGGACTGTATTGATTTTAATTATTTTGAATTATTTTCACGGTACTGTGTCAGAGAACAAGCACGGAGACGAAGATGACTTTAAATCAGTCTTTAATAATTCCACAAATAGGTAAATCCATATACAGGAAGGCTGTTGACACACGTAGACGTTATCGAGACCCGACAAACTGAAACTGAACAGACAGGAAGTTAAATACACAGGCAAATGAGGGACTAATGACAAGACACAGGTGAACTAACTAAAGTGATCAAGGGGAAACTAGGTCAACAGAAGTTAGACAGGGGAACAGAAACAGAAGGAAACACAAAAGTCCATAACTGTGACAGTAGTGACCGTGGTGGCTATAATATATAGTATAGCCTCTTGTACCTGGTTTCGTAAAATATCATAATATTTTGGTGAAGCGACACACGTCTGATGTATACACACTGTGGTGACGTATGCCAGATTTCTTCAGTCATTTTATCAGCATAATCTCCATCGCTTTCTTACATTCGACTGCAAGCTCACAATTATATCTGCCTCCGTCCAATTAACAACCGCTGAATTGAACCACGTCTGTACATTTTTTATTTTTCAATAATCGGTTTCATTTGGATGTACACAACAATATAGAAGAATTGATCTGTCGCTACTCTTGTTACATCACAACTTAAATTAATAATAAACATCATATTTCCATGAACAATAAACTGTTGTGTTATAACAAATCAGTCATGTTGTTATAATATATTTAGGCTAGTTAGAGTAGATTTATAAGGATTAATTCACCCAAAAATGAAAATGTTATCCATATTTACTCTCCTTCTTGACATTCTCATGATCTCATGAAATTAAACATTTGAAAGAATTGTACTTTTTTTAATACCGTTCATTATCAAAATTACATATATCTTAAATTGCATTTAAGGCATACATTTTATCATTTCATGCATTCCCTGGGAATCACCATTACAAAAAGAAGGGGCTTCAAGCTTTAAAATGGATGCACAAGCGCCATAAAATCCTTTTTCCATAAAAAGATTTTTAAGGTTTTTGGAAAAAAAAAAAACGTTCTATTTCAAAATGTAATGTTTAATTCAATGTACTGCTTTGTTCTTTGTATAATTGTCTAAAAATCTTACTCTACATTTTTAAAGTGAGATTTGTGTGAGAAACTGACTGAAATGAAATCTAAACATCCACCTTAACTCCTCGTTATGTTCGTGAGAGAAGAACTTATTATTTCTGATTCTTGAATCAGATTCTCTTCAAAGATGATTTCAGCTCACAGGGAGAGGTGAAATCAGATTATGAGTGAATAATGACTCAATTTTCAAAGTCATGCAGGTTTGAAATGATGTGAGGGTGCGTAAATGATGACAATTTTTATTTGTTAACTTCTTCAGAAAAGACAAATGCTTTGAGTTGTTGGAGGATGAGTCATTCCTCACCAGAGTTTGGTAATCATAGTTAAACATTTCCGACTCTAAAGGCAGTTACTAACAGAGCAAACAGTCTTTATCCTGGATGAGATCCTGGTAGAAACAACTCTCACGTTGTGCTGAAACAGTCTGAAATGATGCAGCCTCATCAACAAGTAGGCGTGCTGCAGGATGTTGCAGAACCGCTGCATGGGTGTGTGTGTGTGTGTGTGTGTGAGAGACTAACTGAATGCACACATGCATTTGGCCCTGACTGAGCACGTTTTACCTTATTACAGTCATTTCATAATGCAGCAGCTGTCAAACTCATAAAACTAGTCAGCTGTGTGTGTACAGTGTCACAGCGGTAAGAAAGTAGGCTGTCTAAATGAGGTCCATCTGATTCTGTTTGTCACTCAGCGGTCGTAATGAGAACACGAGAACAGAGAGGGAAAACTCTAATGATCTGATTAGATGGATGTTTCTGGAGATGTGGGCTGCTCTGCAGATGCAGGAAAACTTATTACAGTGAGCCGCTGTCACCGCGCGCGCGCGCGCGCGTGTGTGTGTGTGTTTGCCTTCATTCACACTGTTTGTTGAGGGAGCAGTGACTAAGAACAGAGTCGTTTTATTTTAGTTTCTATCTAAGTCACTCTCGTCATCAGCAGAGGAACGGTACTGTCACGGGACTCAGAGATGATTTCACTGAACG